TGAAACAGTAGTATGGGAATGCCAATACAATCATGTGCATGCAGTGACATCGGCAAACAGTCAGTTTTATTCATATGAATTTTAACTTCACTACAATTTAAAAAAATTCCCTCAATTTAAATATACGGTGGGGTCCAAAAATCTGAGACCACTTTCTATGACCCTCCTGTACATGAATCCGTTATTATGACAGCAGTGAGAATTGAAACTAAAACAAATGTGGACTTTCAGTTACCCAAAGCCCCACAACTGTAGTTTCTTACAGAGCTCCACTTGGTTCTGACTTTTACATCAATATGTATAATGTCAGTTTAAATAATACATTTGCAGCCCAAGAAAGTGGTCACTTACTGCCACTTCTTGAATCAACAGCTCAGTGTTTCTTTTCAAAGAAAAAAAACAACTGTCACGTACATTTATATTGGCATAAAGCAACCTGTTATTGGGGCGACAGCATTTATACTGGGGGCGTCACACAATGACAGATTTACAGTAAGTTTTATATACGTTCATTGGTAAATAAAGGGGCTTTCCACTCATTAGATTAAGACTCTGTTTCTGCAGCTGCATTTGACCCTAAACTGCAAGCATATACAGTAAATCGAAGAAGTTACAGAGGCTGGCAGGATGTGAGCAGCAGACATTTACTGCCCTGCTGGTTTAACTAAAGCAGAAAACTACGCCCAAGGTAATGTTGGAGCTCAATGTGTTTGTATGAGGATTGAGATAATATAAACCACAAGCTTCAGAAAGTTTAAGCCCAAAAAAACCCATCAAATCACAGCAAGACTCTGTAATTCAAATTGTATGAGTTTGTTATTGACCTTCAAACTAGAAATGCTCAAACAGTGTTGGAGTAAAATTGGGCCTTGCAGCCTGAAACATTCAGATCATGTGCCCACTATGTTCATTTTTTTTTTTTGAATCAATATTTGTTGCATGTCTTCCTCTCTGAATTCCCCTCATATTTCCTGTCGGATCTTCAACTGAACTAAACCAAAAAGTACATGAAAACAATACAGTGCCCAAAAAGATGCACACGCAGATTGTGTTGAGACAGTATTGTATTGAAATGTATTGATGTTAAATTATTAAAGTTGGTAAAAAAGAAACAACACTTATATGTACAATTTTCATTTGTCACCATTTTCATCTGGCAGCAAAATAAGAATCATATCTCACAGAAACCAGTGGTCTCTCTCTCACACGTGCACTCACACACACAAACATTGTCATTGGACACATCTGTAAACTCAGACTGGGTTAAAATAACACAATTTGGTCTTCACAGACATAAATGACGTAGGTGTTTATTTGCATGCAAAGTGGGGGAGTGAGATCAGATCCCAGGTCACGATCAGGATTCATTTTAATATCAGATGTGAACAGACGTACTTTACTCTGCCCAATTATGATTGGATCTCTCAGGATGGATGTAACTACCAGGTCTGAACAGAAGCAATGACAACTGCCTAAACATCCGATGACATGCACCAGCCTGTCTCATTGAAAAGCAGAAGTCACATGAACAAAGTCCTTCCTTATCAAGACATTTTGTTTTTATTTAATTTAAACTGTGTACTTTTCCTCTCCTTGCCTCTCTGCTTTGTGGTAGTGGGTGTAGCTGCCGTACAGCTCGTTGAACACCTCTCTGACTCCCATCTGCAGCCCTGCCATCAGAAACTTGATGTCTTGCTCCATGCACAGGTCCATTATCTGATAGATGCCCTCAGTGAGATGCAGCTTAATGTCCGGTCGCAGAGTAACCTGCAGAGGTGAATAAAGAGTTATGAAGGAGGAGGAAGCATCTTACAAGACCTGTTTCACAACCCTTGATTTCCCATCAACAGATGCAGTATTGCCAAGCAGCAATGACCTCACCGGTTTTTCTTGTTTCTCACTCACACACAAACACATGCACGCAAACGCACAAACAACAGGAGCCCAGTGGTGACAAACACCTAAATAAAGTTATATTTATCTTAGTGGCTCTGTTTTGTGGTTGGTTTCCTACTTGAGTCATTGTCCTCTCTCACATCCACTTTTTACTACAAACACTTTTGCATTTGTAGCTTTTATGTTACTGGGCTGAAAGGTTTTCACGTCCATCTATATTGGGTCTTTTACACTTAATCAGCCTATGGTGTTTGGTTTGTCTAACGTGACCTGCAGGAGTTTCTGAAAGCTGGTGCAACAGCTCCTGCTGCCAAAGAGGAAATGCTCAAAAAACTAAAAAATATATTAATATAGATGTTTATTTTTTTTAAAGAGTGAGAGGAATTGACTTGCTACAAGAACTAAGGGCAGTTGGTGTTATGTGCTGAATAAATTCTAAAGCTCTCTGAGAAAAGAGCGAATCAAACTACATCTACCGTAGCTGCTCGAGTATATAACGTGTGTGTAGATTGACATATTCAACCTTTACCTGACTGAAAGCTCCCTCGTCTGTACTATGGTGAATATCTGCACCTGGAGTTGTATTGTAATGTGCAACTCTAGATACAATGAATCCTGCTGAATCACAGTTAGCAAATCCATCCTTGACCTCTCAGTGTGAGAAGTAAGAATACAGGCATTCTCCAGCACCTCACTCATTGTCCAAGGACAGGTCTGATAATGTGGCCTAACCAGTTTCTCTTCCCTGTGCTCATTCAAGCATGTCATATATTTGAATGTGTTGTTGGTCCATCTGAAAATGTTGAATTGAACTTAGAGAAAGATCAGCATTGATTTTGCTCATTTAATTCACCATATAGCCACCACAGTATTCAACTTCATATTTAAAAGAAAAGTTCATTTTTAATGTTAACAGATCTTGGGGAATGAAAAAAGTTGAATAAACTCTTTTATGGCACCCAGGAGAAACTGAATGAAACCTGATAACTACATGTGGCGTAACTTGGGTCAGTGTTGGGCACAGCTGAAGAAAATGAAACAATCTCAGCTTTAGGCTGAAAGGCTACTGGTATTACACCTAAGTACCTATCAGTAGATACATATATATTTTTAAAAACTGGAAATGATTCCAAAGTATTTGTTAATAGAGGCTTGATATTTTATTCTGTTTAACCATAAAAATCAGATACAAATGCAACCAAAATTGACCTAAATAATAATAATTTGTAAAAAATATAAATGACATCTTAATAAAATAAATTCACATCTTTTCTGTTTTGTTTACACTCTAAAATCAAAGTTTTTATCTAGCAAGTATAAATGTAGATAGGCTTATATCACAGGCTCTTATGTTTTCAATAGAATAGTAAGTCTGACTTGTTTGAAATAATATTATTAAGTTAAGGGCCCAAAGTCTCAAACTTCACGAGCACCAAAAATTCACTTTCTAATTGCAGCTTCACCCTAATCTAATTAAACCTGACTGCATGGAAAGTTCAATTCAGTCTAAGAGCCATTAGGCACAGTTCAGACGAACAGAAAGAGAGACAACTAAATTACTTTGGACTCGCAAAGAGGTCCATCTCTTTGAACAGTCTGATAAAAAGCACAATAGAAATGTAATTTCAGGATTACTAGATGGTTCACACAGAGCTCAAAGAAGCTCAAACACCACTTCTAAACCATTTCTGTCTGTCTACCAGTCCATCTTTCTGTCAGTCAGTCAGTCTGTCTGAATGTGTACTTTCATGTATTCCTCTCAGTGTGCGACTCTGCTGCAGACTGCTGAGTCAGGTTGGCATCGTGTTAAATACAGTCTGGTAGCAGAGAGGAGCCACGTTCATAAACCAGACGTGACTCACTGCTCTGAGGGAACATCCAGCCTGAAACTTTCTGCACAGTGACTTACAGTAATACTGGACCCGTTCACCGAGATGTGTGAAAGTTTGCTATGTGGCCAATGGAAATAGTTCCCATCTTTGCCTCTGTGCGTCAGCGTCTCCGTCACGCAGCTCGACTCAATCTCTCCAGCTCAGGGCTAACCACCAGACAAACTGGACGGGCTCAAAGGATCAGCTGAGATCCTGCTGCCTCATTTATACATCCACATGTTCTGTATGTGTGTGTAAGTGTGTCACTCACAGCTGTAATGAAATCACAGGCTCTAACACTTGGGTTTGGACGAGGAGCTGCGCTGACTGTATGACTGTATGTGATTAAGTGTGTGTGTGTACATGTACTTCTATCTTTGTGAGGACCTACAAAGTGAGGACGTGTTAGCCAGTCCGTAATTTCTGACACTCCGTCAAAGAGTTGTTTATGGGTTAACACTTTAGCAATCTTGGACATCATCAGCTGTCGTGTGAAGACAAATTAACCTCTGTGGGCAACGGCTAAAATTTGAGGCTTCAGTTGTAGACAGCAGATATCTGGGCCAAGTCCCTGTCTACTGTTTTCTGTACACTGTTTACAGTGTGACTGGTTTCTTTTATCACACAAGTAAAACCTTCAACCACACTAAACACAAACAGCTGTACTTTTGGTAGTTGTTTTAGGTCCAGACAACATTTTGACTAATCTTTATTAAAAGCTATCTGAATATATGCAGATAAAATAAAAAGCCAACAGCCAGTGCATTTTGGTCAGTGTGTCCCGCATCTTTTGCTCTACCACACGGACTGACCTGCGGGCAACCAAAACCGGGTCAAGCGTGATATTTCAAACTACAAACGGAAACCAAGCCCCAAAATCTTGTCTGTCACCTACAGATTTTGCATATTCACATGCAGAATGTGTTCATAGAAATTAACACTTTCAATTCAGGTTAGAATTAGGTCAAGGTTGTATTTGTGTGCAAGTGTGTGTGTGTGTGTGTGTGTGTGTGTGTGTGTACCTTCTGGAGCTCTGTGACGTACTGAGCCACCATGAAGGCCGACAGTGTGGTGAAGCTCTCAGCTGCAGCAGCAATGTGAGAGAACATCCTCTGTGTCAGTCTGGAGCACTGGTGATACACGTCACCATCTGAACCTATAAAATCAAATCAGACATTTCAATTTATTTACATTTTATAGAAAGTAAATGTTCTGTTTACACATTATACCTGGGACTTAGTGTTTTGGGTGCAGCTACACTTTGTTTCACTGACAATGTTGCTATACAATACTACAATGCTGCCTTATTAACACTTGTTTTTAGACCAAGATTATAAATGATTCTTGGATTGAAGTGCACATCAAAAATCTAAGGTACCTCTACAACATGCTGACTCAGCACTCTTGTTGCTGTGGAGAAGTGTCTGTGGTGACAAAGCAGAGATTTCTGCAGAGGATGTCAGCGGTTTACAGTCGATTTAATTAAAAACGAATTGAGACGAAGAAAACTCCCTGACTTAATATTTCACTGTTTCTGGGAGGCTGCTGCTGTTGAGTAAATATCAGAAGCTGCCAACAGTGTTGAAATGTGACTGGGCACGACATAGAGTCCCTGTCAGTTCCAGTAACTTGTGAAGGGCAGAAAGATGAATCTCCTCTTTTAAATTTAATTCAGCATTGAACTGACTTCAAAGTTAATTAATTTCACTGAATCTTTTACATTTCAAGGACAAAAAAGTGTCAAACAACAATCACACAGTACATGTAAACATCTTTTGACATGCTGGGGATACTGGATGAATGGGGGTTATTATATTTGGGCCTGAGGAATTTTATAAATGTTCCTATTACTTGCACTCTGAAGTGAAACCTGCTTTTATGACTAGTTTAAATCACACGATTATTCACATTAACATCCAAACCGCAAGTTTTCTCCAAATGAATTGATAATAAGTGAACTTGTCTGAGCATGTAGATGTTACCTGTGTCACTGTCTCCTCTCTGTCGACCCTCCTGCATAATGGATGCCACCAGACGATAGAAGACATTTAAAAAGGATGGAGCTGCATTTGACAACACCTAGACACACACACACACCAACACAAACATATTTAAGATGTCACATGTTTGTCCGATCAGGAGCTAACATAGATTGTAGTTGGACTGTCATGATGTTGGTGGCCATAAAACATCCATAATGATTTTTACTGTCTTCTGGGGGTGGGTGAGATTCCGCTTAAATTTGGAAGATACCGTTTTCACTGTGCCCATTTACGCAACAACTATACTGTTCTATAGCAGGGGTATTAATATGTGTATTAATATGATACAGTAGATTTTCAGATGGATCCAGCTCAGCCTAATGATAGCATCAGAAAGAAATTATAGAGGTTGTTTGATTTTTACAGTAAAAGAGTAGAAAATGATCAACATGCAGAACATTATGATGTAATGGTTAAGTCAGGGTGTCTTAAATATTTAAATTTGCAGAGCAGCTATAAACGTACATTTCAGTAAAAGACTGAGGTAATGTTGGCTTCCCACAAGAGCTACGTTTGCATTTCAGTCTGTACCTCTCTTTGCTTGAAGACTACAGCGGATAGAGTGAGGGATGAAGAAAGGATAAAAGAGAGGGGGTGACGTCACCAGCTCTGGTTGGAGCTCAGTAATGGTTTCCATTGACTTAAACCCACTCCTTGCCAACCTAAACTGTATACTAGCTCCCCTACCTCTCCTCGCCACCTCCCTCCTTACCTCCACTTCACTTCCTCTCTTATCTACATTGTCCTCAAACTTTCCTCCCTTACTCCTCACTCTCCACCTCCTGCTCCTTCCCTCCTCTCTTTATCACTTATTTTTTATTTCCCTCTCTTCCTCTATAAATGTAGTCTTTTATTTTCTGCTTCCTCTCAGTTCTACCTCCCTCCTCCCTCACTGCTGCTCTCTTTTACTGCTGTCTTTTGTCCTCACAAACATCTGAAACCAGTTAGCTGGTTCTTGCTCTGTTTTATTCAACACAGCTGCCTTGTTACAGTTGCTCCGTCGTTGTTTCTGAACAAAAAACAGTGTCAACATTTTAGACAGTGAGAAACTCAAAAGTTATTACACTTACACCAGTACAACAAAAGACCATATACAGGCTAGGAACTAAAATTACCTTTAAGGTAGATTTTTTTGTAATTTGTTGTGCAATGCAAACTAAAATAAAAGCTGAAATTATGGATTTCGTGACACTTTTGTGCAGCTGCATCACGACTCTGATGAGCTGCAATATCCTCTGGTATAAAGCGACATTCCTCCAGGGCATTCTGTGGCCTCAGCAGCACAGTTTAAGACACATAATGCATTTTCTTCAAATCTTGTATTCAAACCAGCATCGTTGACCTACTTTGACCTACAGTGGGGGTGCTAAAATTATCTATTGCTAGGAGTGTGGCTATATGTTTACAACACTCTAGTCTCCTGTGTTCTTTTAAATGTCTTCTTGTTCTTTGGAAAACATCACATCCTGTTGCAGGGGTCAAGTGAAACTAAGATTTCTATCTACTTGGATAGCTTCTGGACTGGAGCTATAACAAAAAATTGATATAGTTGATATTGGCCAATATCTGACATCCTATTGTCTAAGCAACAAGAAATCACAGTGCAGAAATACCAAACTAGGTGTAAAGTAATTTTAAAACTGTACCGCCATCAAACAGATTGTCTACCAGACAAGTTGATTCTTCCACTGTAAAATGTCTCAGTGTGTATCTGGGTCAAAAATCTTCAGAATCATAAATCTTAGAGATATAGATACAAACATTTGGTTTGTGGTATGAGTTTATGTTATATATATATATATACATCAGGCCTCAAGAATCCAGTACTGTTGGGATTATCCTCCACTAAAAGCATGCAAGCTTGAAAACCATCAATCATCTGTCTCTTCGTACCTGAGGATGACACTGGATGATGGCGAACAGCGCCTCATGAATAGCCAAGAATGCTGACTGGTAGACGGGTGGGGACAAGTGGTCGAGGGGCACAGACTGCAGCGCGCCAAGCACCAGGACCACATGATGAGGGTTGGTGATGAACCCCTCCCCCTGGCGCAGCAGTGATGTCATTGAAGTCACCGTAGGAACGGTAAAGGGAAGCGTTAGAGAGGTGTCCAGTCCAGATGATCTTAACAAGAACTGTAGATAAAGAGACACACACAGAGAGTATGAAAACGTTTTAAAGCTCTCAAGAAGTAATACATTCAATATGAAACTGACAAACCTGACACTAACACTATGAGGACTCTTTCCAAGGCAACATTTTGACTCGTCACAGCAGGAACGACACAGCAGCTGTTACTTATAACACTGAAGATGGATTTGATCTATTCAAGTGTCACATTGAACCATGAGAGTGAACCAGCACAAACTGCACCAGGTCTGTGGAACTGAAGCAGCTGAATGAAATTCAGCCATCATTCATTACATAACTTTTACTGTGACATCTCACACTGTGAAACAAACCCTCTTATACTACAGTAGACTATAAAAGCACAATCTGGGGGAATAGCACTACTTTACCTCCATTTTTGACACAGACTCACCGCTCAAGAACTGTATGTTGAAAAAACAACATTAACATCTAGAATGCCACCAAGTCCCCTTGTTTACTAGATCCGTTAAAATTTCAGACACTCCTAAATATCAGTCCCCTAAACATCTGATTTGTTTCATCAAGAACCATGAATTATTCTGAGTAACTGAGGTAAATGTTGAAGAATGCCTTATCTTCCGATGTTAAAGAAACTGAAAAAAATCCAGATCCACACCAAAATTGAAAGGGTTCTTCCTCGACCCACACCACATCCTTCCACCAAGTTTCGTGGAAATCTGTCTGGACTTTTTGTGTAATCTCACTTACAATCACAAATCATAAATTCTTAAAATAACAATAATCTAAAGCCGAGAAAAATCTGATGATTTTAGACTTTTAGATGAGTCTCCTCTTACATCATCTCAAGAGTGTGGAGGAAACAAATCGACGACATATGGACATGGTGAAGGTCTTAACAGAGGAATCAACAGCATGGTTAACATATTTAAGAACACTGTGTGCGTGTGTTTACAGTAAGATATAAGCAGATTGCTGTGTTGTCCATCTTCTCCACCCAGGCCTAACTGAAAGCACATTGACCGAATTAAGAAAAGAAGAGACATTCCAGGGGAAATCAGCAGCCTGGTCGTTATTTGGCTGCTGAGTCACTCCTGACAGCTGTCACATGTACTGCACTTCCTGAACAGATATTACTGATGCCTGAAGTCAACTCTAAATGCTCTCAGCGTGGGACTGTCCCCGCTTGTCCTAAAAGAGCAGTGCACGCTACATTGATTTGTCATCATTTCTTCTGTCTGCACATCTTAAAATCAAAGTATGATCAAAATATAAAAACAGCCTGTTGAATATGTATGTCAGGGCTTGTGGACACTTGGATGACACCACGCGAGCAGTATGGAGGCATGTTGTCTTTTTTTTCTGTTTTTTATGTCTGAAGAAGGAATCCCCAGTTCGATTGGATTTGGCTGCAACGCTGTTTATCCCTGAGACTCCACAAGTGTTTTGTGGACGCAAACACTTCACCCACCCCTCCATCATAGTAGTGAGTAGATAATGAATGAATTTTCATTTTTTGGTGAACCTTTAAGTGTGTGTTAGGAGTGTGTGTTTTTCTCACCACCATAGCAGATATAATCTGCGGTGCAATGTGCCACAGAGCTTTCATGCAGGGGTCAGTTAACTGACAACAGAACAGCAGCTTAGTGATGGTTACTGCAGACAGCACCTCCTGCAGAACAGAGGAGGTACAGGGACAAAATTAAAGCAATTATTTTTTTTACTGGTTCTCTTTAAGCATAAACAACATAAGTGATTTGGACAGATCTTGGACTCACCCTGTAGTTTCCAGCCCTCAGTTTGCCAGTGTTAAGTCCTTCTCTGATCATCAGAAGCAGCAGCTTGAACTGAGCAGTTGTGCTTTTCTCCACCAGGTGGCACAGCAGCTCCTGCACTGCTGGCTCCAGCTCACAGACATCTTTTGGTGACAGCCATGGAGCTGTGGGCAAAATTTAAAAAAACTGTGTGAAGTCATATCAGTCTGTTTGATAGAGACGTGACACAACAACACGATATAATGCCATACAAATATCTAGTAATAAATGTAATGCTTTTTACTTTTATAATAATGTTTAGTGTTTAGGTTTTGACATAAATCTGAGCTGATGCCAACTGTTTTATATAAATAAAAATCGATGTGATAAAACTTTATCTAGCTTTGTTTATGAAATATCAAACCTACTTTTTAAACAACCCTACAAATATTTGTCACATTTCAACACAAATGTTATAAGTTAAATGCTGAAGCAGTTGTAAACTTCTGCCAGTAATATGCAGGTGATTAATGGGATGAAAACACTGACTGTAAAGCAATCTGACACCTTGTTTAGATAAGTAGAAATAGAAAAGTTGTATTATTATTATGGCCCTGTGATTCTGTCGTGTGTGTGTGTGTGTGTGTGTGTGTGTGTGTGTGTGCGTGCATGTGTATGGATGGATATTATTAGTATGTTTCCAGTCTGCCCACATACCTGTCAGCAATCTCTGCACATTCTGCAGGATCTGAGTGTACAGTTCATCCAGGTCCTTTTCTCCCTTCTCCTTGTCTCCTCTCATCCTCTCTGCTGCCTTGTAGAATAAGGACAGGAAATGGAGATAAGAGACCAGAGAGTCCATGGGCCTGAGGTCGGAGTTAAGTTCTCTGAGGATCTGCTGGCACAAGTTCTGATAGAGGGTCATGTGGCTCAGGGTGAGCGTGGTGCCATCCTGCTTGTTCTGTTCTTCCACTGACAGTGAGGACAGTTCACAGTGCAGCATGACGGTGACAACTTCTACCACGAAGGCTTGATCGAGGACGCCGACTGGTTGGACGGCTGCTTCGCTGACAGTCTGGGGTCTTAAGACGGACTCAACAGCTGGTCCCAGTGTAGCATTCACTGTTGTTACCATTTGGGTCAAGGTCTGATCCATTAGTTTACTCCTCCCCAGGTTAGAAGTCATCTCCTGGGCAAAAGAAGTCAGTGATGCCAGCTCAAGATGAACAGACAAAATGGATGCTCCTGGATCTGGTTTTCCTGAAACAGCTGCTGAACTTTGAGCAACATTGCACCCGCTTGGCTTTTCCTTACTGGTAAGAAAAGCAATAAACTGATTCAGGTTGAGTTGGACGCTGCTGTTTCTGAATATAATCAACTGGACCAAGGCCCTGATGAAGTCCTGCACTGCTTTGATTAAGTCCATCCAGTCAGAGCTGTGTGTGGCTCGATATCTTCCACTGTTGCTATGCCAGAGGAGAGAAGACACAGCAGCTTGCAGCAGAGAACCTGCATGAAAGAGCTTCAAAACACTTTTTAAGTTTCTACTCTCCACAAGAGAAGTCAGGATCCTGAGCAGCTTCACCTGGAACACAGCATTCTCTTCAGAGTCAGGACGACCATCTGACTGACGGGAGGCCGAGGTGAGCATCATGAAGAGGAGGAGGAAAACAGAGCCGAGATCCTCAGAGTTCATAGCATTTGGGTTAAGGTGTGTTAAGATTTGAATTAAGTTCACCAGTTCCTTGGTCTGTGAGTCAGAGAGTGATACAAACACGTCTCCAGTCTTAGAGGACGCCAGTATATCCTCAACTATGGTCTCCTTTTCCACCAGTTTGGCAGAAGACGGACTGGCATCACTTCCTTCTTCCTGAATCTTTGGGAGTGTAGCACAAACCTTGGGTGCATGTGCCACCAGGAGAACACTGTAAATTCTTTGTGCGAGGGAACAAACTGTTGCAGAGTAAAGTGAAGGTAACTCAGGGAAAATTAGGCTTTCAAGGAGCTGTGATGATATGAGGGAGATGGTCAGACAGCTGGGTGGACAGTCCATCCCTCCATCTGACTGTTCCCTGAGGAGAGACCCGACGAGAACATCTGCTATGCAGCCCAAGTCCTCTCCACTCAGGTAGGGATAAATCAACGGCAGATTGGATGCGACAAGGTGCCAGTGTGCCACAATGTAGGAGCTGCTGTCTACGCTGCTTATCTGCCCGTCCCACACCTGCTCTCCACCTGGGGTCTCCTCAAGCTTCAGTTTAGCAGAAATAAAGTGGGCCGCCCTGTTCAGCAGTGCAGCTGTGCTGGATTCACAGGCTGAGGTGCAGTCCAACATGACTCTCTTCATCTGCTGTAAGGTGAGGAGTTTGAGGAGCAAGCAGCTCATGGGGCTGCAGGAGGGGGAGGGATAGAGGTGGGCAGGTAAGATGTCACCAGATAGAAGACTCTCAATGCGAGTATGGACTGGAGCATTAGAAAGAGCTTCCTCCTCAGTGTCATGGACAGCTGCCTCCTGGTCAGAATCAGGCGATATGTATTTACTACAGTGGATATTAAAAAGCGTGTCCACTTCCACCCAGGCGTACCTGAGGAGCAGAGTGGCCTCCTGGGTCTTCTGTTCCCACAGCACTGAAACCCCCTCTGGCTCTTTGTGCTCCACTTTCTTTTTGACTTTCCTTGGCGTCTTTTTTATCCTCTGTTCTCTTGGCAACACCTGTAGTAACTCCTTGACTACCTGCTGCATCTCCTCCATCAGGGCTTGACCCTGCCTGACTAAAGGAAGAGGAGAAGCATTGTCTAGAGTTTTCAGACTAAATAAAACAGCATGAAGGAGCTGGCTGAGGGAGAAGAGCTTCAGAGACGCATCTTGTCTCTCTTGGTCCACATTAAGTTTGCTTTTTTTATCATCTCCTCCTTCATCAATGTCCATTTTCTCTGCCTCTTTTTCATCCTTCACCATGTCAGGAAGTATATGTGTCCTCATGTTCTCCAGCACTGATGAGCAGATCTCAAAGCACTGGGACGGGGGCGTGTCCAGAAGACAAGTCCCGAGGGAGACGGAGATCCCTTCGGACAGCAGAGGAGGTCGGAGTTCTTCCAGAGCTGGCTGACAGATCACAGACAGGAGCTCGGAGAAGAGGCGAGGGAGCTGACGGAGCTTAGTGTAGGTCTGGAGGAGACTGCACACCATCATCTGTTAGGATAAAACATCCAGAATAATTAAAATTTCATCTGTTTATAAAGACTCAATTTTATATTTGTATTTATTCCTCAGCATGAGCTTAATTATTGATTTTTTTATAGCATTTGCATAAGGGGTGTAAAGGTAAATGTATCTGTGCCAAAACAATTTCAGTATGGGCCTTTTGGTTGTGAGAGCATGTGTAACAAATGCCGTAAGTGTTTTTATAGCACCAGCTAGGCAGCCATCCTGTTGCAAAGACACAAGTTTTTAAGTAATAATGACTTTACTTTTGTCAATGTACTTTATTTGTAGATTGCAGCCAGTTGAAGCAGTATAAAAAGAAGCATGTTTTATATTTCTTATTTTTGTTATACCGAATACGTATGGGAGCGTGACCTCAACACCGTGATATTTGTGTACCGTTTTCTGTGCATATAGAATACATACAAATATTGTTACACAATCGAATTTAGGAATTACTGTTAAAATGATTACCTGTCTGGCGCGCTGCACTCGTGCTTCCATGCACTCAGAATTAACCCAGGCTGAAGATAACAGCTGGTCCAGGTCTGGTTCAAGAATCAGATGGTTGAGACTCAACAGCACCTTCAAACAGCGGTACCATGCTGGGATGCTGAAAGACAAGATATAAGAGTTTTACATTGTATGACCAAAAAAAATCTGATAATGAAAACACATCAAGAGGAGGTGTTAGTTACCTTGGCTGAGCCTGGTTGAAGAGCATTTGTCCCAGCGCTCTGTAAAAGTTGAGCTGGACCTGTTTGTGTCGTATTCTGTCTGCTGCTACATTATAAATATCAGCTGACAGAGCCTGGCTTAGCAGGAACTCCACAGACAACAGAGCCAGGCTCCAGCTCTCTGGGGACTGGAGGGAGTCTGGGGAAGACGTCTGACCAGAGGACTCAGACACTGACTGCTCTGCTTTTGCAGGTGAGACTGAGTCTCCATCGAGACTTAGATCTAATGCTGGGACCAATCTCATGAGAAAATAAAAACACAGCATCTTCTGTTCTTCTTCATTGTCTCCTCTTCCTTTCCCATAGCTTTCCAGAAAAAATTTAAACAGCAGAGACAATGTGTTGGACTTCACAGAGTAGTGTAGGGGCGGCTCACAGTAGCCCTGTGCACTCAGTTTGGGAAGAATGGCACTGACTGGCTTCAGGGGGCCTTTTGCTCCTCCTGGACCACGTTTCCCAGTATCACCTCTAGATGGAAGGAGCTCGTCCTTGTAAGAGGTCAGGTGCTCGGACGGGAAGAGGGCAGACTGAAGGATGGAGTCAATCTTGACGCGAATGTCTCTGCACAGCTGCTGACGGATACGCAGTGTCTGAGTGGGTGCAATATCCCCAGAAGTCAACAGATGTCTGAGCAGCACTAACGGCTGGATCAGCTGGTTGGTCACCACGGTAAAGACCCTGTTAGGGTTGGCTTGTTGTCGCTGTACCGCTAAATAACATGACAACACCTGAAGCAGCACCTCAAACAGATTAGATGAATGGTTTTCACGAGGCTTGGAAGTTGGATTCTTAGTATCTAACTCTGGGTGATCTGCAGGAGAGTCCAACGTGTCCTTATTGTTAGCACGTTGAGTTTGAAGAGGCTCGCTCATCACCACATCTTGACATGTATCAGACTCAGTCATTATGATTTCTGTGAGCAATGGCTGCTGAAGCTCACAGCAGGCCATCGAGCAGAGCTTGGCCAGCAGATCAACCATGAGTTCATACTTGGTAATGAAGACAGATGACAGCACCGGAGAAGAGAGAATGCCCTGGCACACGCTCAGTATGGTGGCCGCACACACCGGCGACTTGGAGTCAACACGGGAACACTCCTGGAGACGCTCAAGCAGCAGCTGGAGGCAAAAAAGGAACAAGGCACTGAGAACCTTCATACACACACATCGACACCTCCTGTTTTTAAAGTATGAATATGCCAGCTCATTAATCAACACACGATTGTCCCATAAACAAACACAAAAACACCTGTGCCATGTTGAGCCTCAGGCTGATAGTCTTTCCCTGTCTGAGAAATGAGTGGAGCTTCCGGCTGTGAAGCAGGTCATCAAGGTAACACCACAGGCCTTCCAGTACATTCTGAGAAAACTCAACCTTTTGGTTGTACCAGCCTGTCAAAGCATGGGTGCACCAGTCCAAAAGCACCTGCAGGAAGAAAGGATTTAGACATCAAAATAGTGTTTGAGTTAAATTAACACACTTTTTTCCACTATCCTGGAGCAGACACAAATTATAGAATGAAAAATAAACAAGAGACAAAGACAGAAATTCACAAATCCTACACAGTAAATGTGGTCACTGCATCAGCACAGTCCTAATAAAGGCCTTTCTACTAATGTGGACTAAGATAGATGCAAATCCAAATCTGTACCTCCAGTAAACATCATAAATAGAATTAATACAAAAGCCATTGGTACCAGAGTAATGGAACAAGTGGAGCAGATGTTCAGCAAATTCATCTGCATTGTTCAGATGAGGGGGAGCGAAGTTACTACCCAACTTTTACTTTTTGTTATTATACAAATACACTTATCATAGACATCATGCTATTATTTTCATCAGCTAAGAAAAACAACTATAAAAATCTGATCCATCAGCACAGACAGACTGGACAATGACAGACAGACGAGAGGAACTTATCCTCACAGCACAGAAAAAAAATCTAATGAAATGTTCAGCTGTGGAAGATTAACTATTTAATCTTTCAGATACATTTTTGTTTAACTTTCAGTTTTGGTCAGACTTTGGTTTGTTAAATATGAGGATGCATATTTTTTGTAAAATTCTCTCTCCTTAAATCCACCTGCTCTGTGCTGATCATTGTCTCACACAGGACAAACGTGAACCATAAGTTAACTCTGGTTCCAAAGTGCGGTGTCATCCTCAACTAAAATGGCTATTATGATTATTCCTTCATGTATAACCATACAACTACACCAGCTAGCATTGCTATGACAACTGCTTCCTCTAGAACCTATGTGTAAAATAAAGGTGGTATTGGAATAAGACATCTGTTGTAAGTCCATTATATTCATCTAAATTGTTTGTGGGTTGTAGGTGGTATTGGCTTGTGAGTACTGAGAATGACAACTCTTAGGATAAACATTGTTTAATTATACAAATTATATTGCTACTTGTTAGACTGTTCAATTTTTTAAAAATCTTTGTTTAATTTAGAAATTGAGTCAAAAGCCTGCAGCGTTGACTACACAAAGTTGTTTTGAATATAATTTTAAATATTCTCCCAGTGATCATGTTCTGTACTGATCAAGCTGATAATATACTGTTGTTGATGTATTCTTGGTTTTCACCATCCTCTATAGAACTAATCTAGACCAGTGCAGGTGGCTGTTGCTAAATACAAGAGGTTAGGTGATGTAGAAATGCAGGAAACTTGTTTTAAAGTGCAATTGTTTAATGAGGGAGTACCTGTAGACCCCAAGGCAAGTATTTTAAGTAAGCTCCCCACTCGAAATTATAACCATCCCATGAGTACTGGACTAAAGCAGAGACATAACACATAACATTTACAGGTAACTGAAATTTAAACAATGATCTACATAGATCTTGATATAACTTATGATTTAAAACTACGGCAGCCACTTTTTACCACATATATGACTACTGAGGCTTTCCAGCATCTGAACCTTGCACCCAAAGTAAAACAACCAGAGAATATCCTAACAGTTTTACAAAGACACAAGCATCTTGTCAGAAACAACTTCAGCTGTCACCTGTTCCTTGTTGGGCAGCAGACACTGAGAGGAGATCCAGGCAAAGCGTGCCAGCTTCAGCTTGTCCTCCCATGGAGTCTGAGGACTCTTCAGTTTCAGATGGATTCCTGAGTAGATGGCAGCCATCACTGCAGCAGCTGTTTCTGCTGCTCAGGAAACAAGACGAGCGTTTCATTGTGTGATTGTACTGTAGGCACAGTTATCACATTCAACACATGAACTGAATTAGAGAACATCCTATGAGACTGGTCACATTTTAAGTTCATGTGTATTGGTCAGTGAATATTAAGACCAGCCGCCTCAAGCTCTCATTCATCCCGACGTCTATCACACAACTCAATAAGGAAACATATCGATTCAGCCATGTGTCTCAATGACCTTTGCGCCTTCACACTCTGGTTTTTAAGTTTTAATACCAGTTATTCTGCATTATTATTCTGGCTCTTACACTTTATGTCATTGTGTGCTGTTTTTGGTTGTTGCACAATGAACTGTTCTGCACTTTGACCCAAGAAAAATGTCCCCGTGGGAACAATGAAGTATTATTGTTATGTTATTATTATTAATGGGGTGTACATGTTTCTCATGTTCACAAACCAACTTGCTCACTCTCCACTTTTGAAGCTAACGACACCTAGCTAGGTAGCACGGTCTAGCTGACGTCAAAATAAGCTAATAGTTGCGCTGTCACTTGTTTGTACTGGAGCAGACTATCCCCGAGCATCGACTAAGCTCATTTCACAACAACATATATGAACATATGAAACATGTACTTCACTGAACTCACGACTTTACAGCCGGCACGTGGCTCCTGTTTTCAGATGAGGACGAACTTTCAACTTTCACCCTGCCGGCCAGCCCAAAGCAACCGAGAGTCGATCGACATCATCGGCCAACAGTTGTCCGTCTCTCGTCCACAAACATTGAGGACATCCCTCCAACCTGTCTCTGCAGAGACACTGATGTGTACTGCTGTTTTTGTCATCACTTATTTTGCTCTTGTCCCCACTCTTCTGTTTGTTGGCAAGATGTCTGCATATTTATTTCA